GATAAAAAGGATTCAATAGAGATTTGATCGAACTTGATAAGAAAAAATTTCTATAAACAATAGTTCTATTGTATTCTATGAATACAATAGTTTTATCTTGAGATACATATATTATCAAAATTTAATCTAAGAAACTTTAAAAAACTAACAATTTTTTTTTTATAATAGACATATGAATGATTTAGAGAAATTTAAATAATCTACCATTTATTTGTATCACCAATTTAATTAATTTGATTAAGTTAATAACTTTGATTAAGTTAATAATTTTTTAGTAGACAGTAATCGCTTTTTAATAAGTATTAGCTAAAATTTTCTGAAAGTTTCTTACATTGCATATGTTACATAGGTTTTATTCAACATAAAACATCTATAAAAATTCCCTAAAAAATGTGTAATCTATTAATATTTATTTTTCGTTGCAATTATCGATTAGACAAAATAGTACGAAACGCGAAAGATTATTTCTGATAGAAAATGTCTTTGTAAGTCTACCGCTATCTGGTCTGCAGTGAAATCGATAAATTTTCGCTCTTACGAAAATCCCGTCACGTCATCGCTCGATTGAGATATTCTTCATGAGAACGTGTAATCATATGAATAGTTTCGATATCTCGCGCCCATAGATCGAAACGTCAAAATTTCTTATTTGACCTCTAGTTTCTTATCGACCTCCGTCTGGATCCTTTTTTCCGTATGATTTACAATGAGATACTGCAGGTTTTTTGTCCGCGATATCGAGTGCCTATGCATAAATAGTCGAATGAATCATGAAATACGAGTGCCGCGGCGTTCGAGGACGCGCGAAAAAAATAAAAGACTATCCTGTCCCGTGTTATCGTCTTCTTTATTACAGCTGCGGTATCGCGCAATCATTTCACTCTTTTTTTAGACAAATCGACCTCATTTGAATGCGGTATCTCGCCGAGACACTCGGGCAGACAGTAAATGTCATCCGCGGAATAGGATATCGTTTATATGGTAGACCCTGGCGTAGCTCAATTTATAATATTAATCTCGGGAAGCGCGGGCTTTGTAAAAGAAAGAGTTTATAAGAAATACACGCATGCATTCGGAGAAACGTAATATTATATTATGCAATATTAAATAATGCAATTTAATCAATCCAAGAAATGAATCTCACCTACTTATTTTCTCACGTGAGCGAAACGTCCCTTTCAAAGAAGTAGATTTAATCCTTCGTTAGTGTTTAAGAAATGCCATTTGATCTGTCTGCGAGCGTCTTGAAGTTATCGCTTCAAGAGACAACCGTATCTCTCTCGAATACGCCGAGAGAAATAGTCCCGCTGTCATCGCTGAACGCGAGAAATCTCTCGAAGTACAACACGACAGATCGCGGTGCTTCATCAGAAGCCTTCGATTACACTGGCGGCATGTCATTTGATAGATTCCTTGTGTGAAAATCTCGTAATTCTTATAAAATATACAACATTATGGACCGATTATTCGGGTCGGGCGCGGCCTCCTATCAGCCTCAGGAGCGTCGCTAATAATCGAGATTCCCTGGCGACATAGACTATAAAACATAGCGCGATGTAGTAAAAGAAAGTTCGCGGTATATCCGCGAGATATTGCAAGATCGTTGTATTTAAGTTCATCGTGTTAAGTCCAAATTAAATAAAGATTTAAACATATTTAAACGTATAAATATTCTTAAGTTTATAATTATTACGAATAAAAAGACGACGCGTTTTCCCTAAATAGAAAATCGCGAACGAGCGAGAGATAATACCATCTTTGGCCTTGAATCGATACACTGGTGTCTCGTGATGCGTTCGTGATGGCATTGCCGATTAATTTCTCTTTCCGTTTCCGCTGGAGAATTCGCAGAATTACCGCGTGGCTCTTGAACGTGACGTAACGCGACGCTACCGACATTGTTCTTTTCGCGCCGTTACGAATTGCACAACATTGTGTGTCAAGGGCTCGCGCGCGACCACGAGACGCTGGACATTACGACGCGATGCACGTGGCGGAAAAATGAGAAGTCGATTCATTCGGGATATGCCGCGTTCACGTAACGCGACAATGGGCGACGAGCGGGCGGATTACAACAATACTCTTTGCAAGCAACCCAGAATCACGGACTTTCTCGCGATGTCCCGGGAAAGTTATCCCCGAGGATGCTTCATTGCTCTCTCGCCCACACACGGACATAATCAGTTCCGCTTCGGAAAATTTCCAATCGATTGCTCGGATAGAAAATCTACGTGGCAGACGGGCTTTGCTCGTGTATGATAAAGAGAGAAACGTAGGAGTATCTCGATAGGAGGTTGATATATTTCCATGCACTCGCGATTGTTCTCCAGAGCATATCCCAATGTGTGACTTTTAATTTTAATACAATGTTGTTTATTGATTTGTGCTTGCTTAATGTGTCGAGGCACCAGTAAGTTTTGGAGTTGAAAGATTAACTATTTTTCATTGGTTTTGACGAATAATGCCATCTTCATAGGCTCAAATCTTTTCAGACGACTTTCTATTCAATCTTTCCACCAATCCAATAGTTTTTCGGAAAGTTGAATTTTCTTCGGAGAAGGGATAAGGTATAATATATATACATTTTTAAACTGCTCGAACTTTAGTTTATAAGAGATCGTCAAGCTAGAAAGATTTAGAAGAAGATAGTTGAGAGCATTATAAATATACGACAGTAGTTAATATAATATTTTAGAGTGTGATTTTGATTGCAAATTTCAAATAGCATCAATTCTTAAGTGCAGCAAGATGCAGAGGAAACAAATACTAATTTATTTCCCAAAGAATTTTTCCCAAAGAAATTTTTTACCCGGTACTAAATTGAGTGAGTAGTTAGAAACTTAAATTTTTTTTCTAATTTCTTTTTCTTTTTCTTATCATTGATTCAATCGCCTGCTTAAAGAAATTATAAAACGATTTATAGCGATGAATGTCCTTGAAAGAATTTCTTGATATCAATTTACTTTCGATAATTTCTTGATATCAGAAATAAGATTTCGACAATTTATTGATGATGAATTATTTTTGACAAGCAAACCTTTCTTATAAATATCTTCTCTAAATAGTTCTTGTAAAAAGAGACATATTTAATAATTATTATAGGAGATATCGAATAACATATATTATATCTTCTTCTTATTAATATATCGTAACAATATTTTCTTCTTTTTAATATACAGTTTCCTCGAATATTTGGAATATTCCTGTTGTTTTTAATCATAAAAAATACTAAAGAGAATACATGAAAGGACAAATTCTAAAAGGACAAATATTATGATAAGCAAAAATTTTTCTCAAGTTTATATTTGAGATTTCAACGTTATCGCTATTTTTTTCTTTTTTTAATGGGATAACATATTTTTATTATCTAGTAATATAATTCATAAAAAAGTAAATTCAATTATACAGAATATATTGATTTTCAAATCATTTTAAATATAAAAAAAGATTATATTTAAATGTGATTATTTTATGTTTAAGATCATCTTGAGATTATCCTATATGACTAAATTTATTTTTTATGAATTACATTATTATGTTAATGAAAGTATATCCCAGTTTTAAAAAAATAAAACCAATTAATCATATCGGAGTTTATCATTGCCTCTTTTCCGCGATGCCGATTAATCCTCTCGTTGCGCTTACTTTATGAACGACTATCATCGCGGAGATCGTTTTAATAGTTGTTATCGTGAGATATGTATCAAGGAATTAATAGTGTAACACTTATATATTAATTTTTCTCCTATTCTATTTCTCTTATTCTTTTTCTTTTTCTCCTATTTCTATTTAAAAGATAAGTAATGCGCGCGCAGCGCGCATCTGTAGTATCTAGTATTAAAAAATATAAACAACGTAAATTTCATTTAAATTAAAATAATTATATTTTAAAAAATTATTTTAAAAAATTATTTTAAAAAATTATCAAAATAATTATTAAATTAATAAATATTAAATATATACGCATATCGTAAACTTTAATATACATAGGGAAAATGTTCCGGACTCCTGAAATATCTGATGCATCTCTTAAAGCCTATAACTTTTATATGGAACATTTTTAAAAAATTTTTTTTGTTATCGAGATATTTCAGAGTCCGAGACTCTCTATCTTGTATATAGAAAGAAAGGAATGAAATATGGAGAGAGGAAGAATATTACAATACAATTTAAAAAACAGCTTAAATTTCAAAGTTTATATTTCAGTTTATATTTCAGTTTATATTTCACTTTATATTTCGTCAGCTTATATTTCAGTTTATACTTCATTTTATATTTCTTAATAACATATCTATCACACTGCCTAAATGAAAATGCACAATATATTAATTATTAGAAAATGTATTGAAAATTTTTTCATCAATCCTAACGAAACGTTTGCTATAAATATGGTGACCATATTTTCTTCAAGAAAATAAAAGACAAATCTGAAAATTTTGTTTCTATATGTTTCCAAACCAATTTGTCTATCAGTAATTGACTATCGGTAATTTGAGCATTATGAAATTTTCACAGTATATAATATACCAAATAAGACACTGTGTAGTTTTCTAATAGTTCAAAATAATAGAAAATGAAAACGGATCTAAGCTGAGCAATGTTATTTAAAAAAATTAAAAGTATAATTAATTCAAGACAAGTTTAAGTTTAAGTTATACAATAATAAGTAAAGTTTAAGTTATACAATATTTATAAATATTTATATATATTTATATTTTATATATTTTATTTTAAAAATTTACTCGTTAGTATGACATTGAAACGCTAGTTTGAAAAGAATTTCTCGTAAAACAAAGGCTAAATAAAAAAAACAAATCAAAGACAAAATTTGGAAGATTTGGAAAAAAATCAATAAATCTAAAAGAGTTACCCGAAGGATTAACCTTTAAAATAAAGGAGGATATGGTCACCATATCTACGAGGCATGGCTCCCTGCTGTGGCGCCGCTCCTGGCCGCCGTCGACGTGGTAGGGATACGTCTCGCTAAGATGGAAGATAGACAAGCGAGATTCCTCAGTCACGTCTGACCTGCCGTGAGGTACGCATTTACTGCCGGTTAACGATTGCGCGTGACAGTGCGAGAGTAAGTAGAGTCGCCGGTGCCTAAAGTCGTTCGAGAGTCACGAGCCGAGAATGAAATTCATCCCTGGCCTGACAAAATACGACAGTGGCAGAGGTAGCGAAAGTATCGTGAGCGTTAGCAGCAGCAGCAGCAGTAGTAGTAGTGATCGTGGCAGTATATCGTTTTGGCGCGGCGCCGTCAGTGACAGCAAAACGATCAGGACGCATAAACGACGGGATCACCAGATATAATAAATGCTTCTTCTTTTTTCCGTTAGTTTTGTTTTCTTTACGTTTGGTTTACGCACACGGGAGAGAGAGAGAGATAGAGCTCTCTAGGATAGTTTACGCGCGAGCGCACGAAGCACGTACGCGGTTTTGCATTGCGACACGTCGCGCGCGCGAGGAGTAACAAGGAGACTAAAGTGCGTAACGTACGTTGGGGTGTACCCGGCGAGAATATTTGTACATAATCACGGAGGTCTTCGCGACTAAAGAGTGATTCGGAGTGGAGTGTGTCTCAGTGTGTACTTCGCATCGATCGTGATTAAAACCTTGGCGGATATACAAATGGATACCTTAACGATGCCTACCCCAACGATGCCTAACCCGTTCTCTTGCCATCCATCAAAGATGCACCCGTTTCATCTGCATCAGACAGACTCGAAATTTTTCCACCCGTCCTTACTTCATAGTATGACTTATAAAAATTTCTTTCATTCTGTTTTCGACGATACGAATAAACAAATCGAACAGTTGACATATAGTTTGCGGCTGTTGACTCGACGTGAACCAAGTCGACTCGACGAAGAGTACCAATCAAGAGCTCCAAGTTTGTTCCCGAAAAGTGAAGGTTCGTACGCACATAGCACTCATGACGATGCGACACCTTTAGAGTAGTGACTTGAGGTCAAATTCGAACGTTCTATTAGCATTAATCGAACGTAATCGATCGTTTGCGCGAACTGCGGGATGCAATTTATATCGCGTTGAAATCTCTGAGTTACAAAAGCGATGTATTAGACAGGAGCACTTCGATATGACCCTTAGACTTGATTGAGCTGCTTGCGCGAGAAATTCCACAAGAAAGTGGGGCAGATTCTAAAAAGACAACTTTTTTTAATCATATATGTTTTATTACTAATTATTAATAGCGATATTAAACTCGAGCCCTTTTGATGTAATTCTTGGATGAAAACTGGACCTAAGATCTGACCTAGATCTGACCTACTAAAAAGTGGAATAGATTTTAAAAAAGACAATCTTAAATCTTTTCCTTTTTTAATCAAGTAAGTTCTATATGTTTCTTCTTCTTCTTCTTCTTCTTCTTTCTTTTTTTTTCTTATTTCGATTTCGCAAAACCGGAGGATAACAAAAGCAAAGATTCTGATGAATATTTACGCGCGACTGAAACGCAGGATATAAATACGGATAATACGATTAACGTGTAACTTCTATAATTAGCGACTGTACTTGCGCGCGGTTTCGCTCGTGCGGCCGGTTCATCGGACTTTCCTACCTGCCTCGAGCGCGACTCCGAGCCTCGGATTTATCGGGAATCGATGGGAATGAATATGACGCGTGGTGCGCTCACTCGTAGGAATCCGATTTGCGCTTTTTAAAAGGATCCTTACGGAGCGTAACGAGATTGCCGGCGTCCGTGCCGGCAAGACGCTCGCCGCGCGCCGCACGCGAGCGGAAACGCACGTACGGAACAAGCTCGATCCGACGCATTTACAACGCGAATTTTATTACCTACGCGAAAGAATCTTTCCTACGGCGAACATAAAACGCAACGCGAAACGTCTACCCGTATCTGTTTCTCTTCTCCTTTTTTTTTTTTTTCATTCAATCGTTGCCTACTCGAGATTTTCTCTCCTAAATAATATTTTTGTTACATCGTATTTTATGAATATACATAATTTACCTATATTATCGAGACAGCGAAATAATCGTATTCAATGTTGTACGAGATTTATTTTGATCTACTATACCCCCCATGAATTTTGAATTCGATCGTTGACGAAAATAAAGGAATATGAGTCTCATTTCTTTTCAAAGGATATTTTTGTCTTTATTTAGTTTTTCCATCAGAAAATTATAATCTTCTGTGATAGTTTTTCCATCAAAAATTGAAGTGGATATCTTGTCTTGCCTTTGTATTTTCATTGTGTATTTATGTATTGTCAATTTATATTTTCATTATAGAGAAGTATTTATTTATATTCCAAAAATCATTTACGTTCTTCTTTTCTTCTTTAAATAAAATTTCAGGGCTAGAAATAGAATAGAGACCTACCTTCTTTTCAAACCCATGACGCGGCGTGAAATCCATTTGTGTCTTTGTCTATTCATATATTTACAAAGAAAAGAATATTTACGCATTCACCAAGCTTTTTTTTTTCTCTTCGAAAGTCACGAACGCGCAATTTCTTTGATCGCTTTGCCAAGAAATCTTTCAATGTATTTATTCCTTTGTAAAATATTTTCCAATTTATTTTTCAACTTTTCCTAATTTGCTCTTGTCTCTGCAATTCAACTTCGACAGGACCGCTCTGCGGCTCGGAGCGGCGTGTTCGCTTTGACGTTTGACATACCCGGCGATAAGGCCACGGGGATGACACGATAAAAAAATGCTCTTGTACTTGGCGCGTATTGTGCTTTCATCGATCATCGGCACAACGAGCGTGGCTTATCCCGCTCTAATTTAATCACCAGCCCGTGCCAATCACGCCGGCCGCGCGACTTTTCGTCGTTTCAGGTGCGGCTTTTCGTACCGGCTCACCCTTAATTAGCATCCCACGGAAAAGTTGTCGGCTTGTTACATGCTCGAGCGATAATGTTCGGCGGAAGTCGGGCGTACCCGCACCTATCTGCACCTGGACCGGTTTTCTCGTTTCTCGCGACTCGTGTAGGCAACCGAGGGGAGGGGGGGGGGTTCGATCGCGAATCGCGATCGTGTCACGCGTCACGCGCGTCACGCGCGTCATACTTTTTCGAAAGTACACGCACGAAAGCCGTCTCTTATCAGATCTAGCTCGAATAACTTCTTTCACGTAGCGCGGTACCGGCGATTCGGCCACGGCGACTTTACGCCATCGGTGAAACCGCTTTTTCTAAAGGGGAGAGACCGCGACCGTGCGGCCGCGTCCTTCGGCACGCCGCGCCTGCGAACGAACGGGACAGAAACATGAAAAATTGAATTCGATATCGTACACGTGCGCGTGGGATATTAACAGATATGCCGGTACGTTGAAACATACGTATCAGATTCGGTCAATGTAACATCGATTGTTCATAATTTTTGACGAAGAAAAATGAAGCGAATAGTAAAATTTAGATTATTTACAAAATTGTTTAAAATCTATTCCAAAAAAAAATTTAGAGTATTTGAAAGATTTTTACGACACCCTGTATGCTGCCCTGTATACTGACCTGCCTCTATCATCCTGACCTATGTCTATGATACTGTGACTTGTCTTCATATCCTGACCTATCTCATCTATTTACTGCAATCAAGAATGGATTTAATTTCGGAACATTAAACTAAAACTAGAACATTAACTAAAACGCGATTACAAAAATATACATAAATAATAAACGCGAAAAAAATATCAATTGAATCGAATGGGGGGGAATATTTATAATATTTTGTGTTGTAATATAATGCTTCAGCCGAATGGAATTAAATTGTAGCTCTCCATTAGTGTCGGTCCACAATAAATATTTAATCTTTAAGCCGTAAGAAATTGACTAATCATAGTCGAGTATTCTTTTCATATTCGATTATAATTGGTCAATTTCTTACTTCTTAAAGCTTAAATCATCTATTGTGGACCGACACTTACGTAAGAAGAATGTCTTTATCTTTGCCCTATATGCTCCATCAGTACAGATATAAAGATTCAAAGATCCGAAATTGATATATATTTGATAATTAGTCATTATCTTTAGTTTAGTTATTATCTTTGCCACCTACTATTATGCTATAATTTATAGTGTCACACACGTTCGCGGTATTCACAGCTGATTTTGACTACCGACATTACTGACAGATGTGTGACAATACGGGCTTAGTAACCAAAGCATCCGGGCACCCGAATATTGTCAACACTGTTCGAGATCATATTATGCAAAATCTTTGTCAACATTTCGTTTTAATTATTCTTATAGGTAATAAGGTTCTTATAGACTGTTATTTTTGTATTACTTCTCTAATGTGATTAATTATATATATATATATATATATATATATATTACTGATATATCTCCATTTGTACCATTTTTCATATAAATTTTAGTTGATAATTATAAATTTTAATTGACCAGGCATTTTTGTTAAAAAGAATATAATATTTTACAACTATCTCGCACGGGTGATCTAATAATTAAATTGTTTTGTTTGTCACACACGTGCTTGTTTGCATACGTGATCATTCGTTGTCCGTGTGCTCGGAGCCATGAACGAAAGCGAGTTAGCTTTTTTCTTCGCCGAGTCGAAACGGTCTTTCTTTGGTCCTCAAAGTTGTTATTTGGTTTGTCTCCCACACCGGTTACCTTTAAATTTTTTCTTTGTCACGTTGTCAATATTGTCGAGAAATGGTGTGAAATTAGAATATAAAGATCGCTGTAAGACGTACAATACACAAAAGCTATATAAGAACTATGTTTCTTATATTTACATTATTTTTTGAATACAATGAATCTAATGTTTTTTTTCTATTAAATTCTTTTGTGTTTCAATATTTCTCTATTTTTCTCTTATATTTTATTTAATATTTGTATTTTTCTCAATATTTTCTTTTATTGTTTTCCTATTATTACTTCTCCCTTTATCATTGTTTTATTTCATGTTAAAAAATCAATCGAGTAATATAAAATTAGATATCACTGTTTTAACATTAAAGATTACATTTCACATTGCTTGAAAAATAAAACTGAGACAAATAAAAGATATCATCGCAACAATTACATAGATAGCGATCGTCAGCGAACATTTGGTACACGCACAAATACGGCAAGAGGAAAGGATATACTAATACATTAATATCAGTAAAACTAATCTTTCTGTAATCTTGATTCACGCGGATCATCCACACGTGTCATCCGTACACGCAGTTCTCCATCTGCTTTAGGCGAAATTACAGTCTCGGATCTCAGCGCGCATCTCGTCGGAACAGTCAAGCGATGAATCATCGTGCAATATAATTGGCATTTCCGCATATTTTCAATCGTTGCTTCAACCATTTTTAAACACCGAATTCTCAGGAGGTTGTTGGATTAATTCCTATCCGATTCCTATTCTTTATTAAATTTTTCTTGGATTGTTGATATTATATAATTTTACATAATTTTACGTCATGACAATTAGTTGTTGCGAGAAAAATATGATACGCAGTTGCACAATATTGCATTTATATTGCATTTTTCGCTCTTTCCTTCTAACTTATGTATTTTGAATGTTGCATAATAAAGCATAGTGATATACGATGTATAGCAGATTAATATTATTTGTTTTTTTTTATCATTTATTTTAATCAATTGCAAGGAAAACATTTGATAAACTACACACATATATACACATGCGCGCATATTTATAATTTTAAGAGATCACATTACTCGAGTATGGAAAAAGAAATTTTGTAATCGATTAAATTAGATCAAAAAGAAATGTTGAATATATACATATATTAAAAAAAATAATATTGTATTATATATTATATATTATATATTTAGTAATATATTCCAAAGAAGTGTAAACAAAGCGAGATAACGCGTAAAGTAGGATACAACAATTTTCTATTCAGATAAACAGCTAGTTCTAGTATTATGACTAATTACAACTAATCATCAATGATTTATTAATGATCAGAAACAGTTTTGCGAACAATCAATGATTTACTTTACCATTCTGGTTTTTGTTTCGTATTACTTACACACAAATATAGACATATGTGTTTGTAAATTTGTATTTTTTTTTATATTTGTTTTTACATTTCTATTGAATATGCGTAAAATAATTTAAATTTTAATCGTTATAATTAAATTCAGCTAACTAAAATGCTCAATATAGATTTTAAGATAATTCTTATTCCTTATTAAATTTTTTTTGGATTGTCGACTTTACATAATTTCACGTTATAAATTAATTGTTACGAGAAGAATAAGAATATGATATGCAATTGCACAATATTATATTTGCATTTTTGCTTTTTCCTTTCGATTAATAATATATTTTGAATGTTAATAATGATATACGATGTATAGTAGATTTATACCATTTATTTCCTTTTTTATCGATTTAATTTTAATTATTAATAAAATAATAAATGTTATTTAAATATCGTATAATTGAATATAAATATTTGATTAATATATAGATCTATTTTGTTAACACATTCTATATATATTTTTTATATTATATATTTTACATATAATATAAAATGATTAATTTTTGTCAAATAATAGAAAAACACAAAATGATAATATTAGTATGAGGAGAAGGTTATTTATTTTTATAATTGTATGCAACATCTGCAAAAATCTTTTTTGCAGTGTTTATTTTTATTTTTGATATAATTAATTACATATTGTTTTATTAATACGTGATAATGCACTATCATTACAGTACAAAGATCTTTTTGTAAAATTATGAATTAATTTCTTATGTTTTAGAGTTTCAATTTAAAGAAAAATGTGGATTTCCAGTACCACAGCAGCAATCAATCAGCAAGCCGAAGTCGGAGGCGGGATCGGAGGCGAACTGGAATTCAAAACTGGAATTCAAAACTCCGCAGTCGAAGCTGAAACCGAAACCGAAGATAGAATCAGAGTCAAGCTTAGATTCCGATTGCAATTCAGACTCGGAGAGCGATACAAAAGCGATAGAGAAGTTGTTCGAAATTCCATTACAGAAGATCGAAGAGATTCTTTTATTAAGTGAAAAGCCACACTTCAAGCAAAAGTCAGAGTCAAAGTCAGAGGAAAAGATTAGTTTTGATTTGATCGAGGCTGATTTGGATACTACTAAGGAAGTTATAAAACGTTATGAAGAGGAGCTATCACAATTTATTCTGAATAACGATAATAACACAGATAATTATAACTATAACAAGCCTGGCCTCTGTCTGGAAAAACGAAATAAATTTGTTCGGAATCTAAAGACGAACGGCAATTATCTTTTGACCAATGCTGCCTATAAATATGGTTCCTCTAATCGATATAATCCGTATAATCCGTTTGAAAAAACATTCAGGCGTAATTTCGTGAACCACGTGTGTGACTTGGTCATATCTGCGAACTCTGAAGTGAGTGAAAGTACTATCAAAGAGGCTGAAAGTGTTTGTGAAAATATGCGTCGTGGTGCGAGGAAACGAGGATATCAGATTGATGATTTGCTTCCGCTTTTACCTCCAAAGAGAAAAAAAGTTGAAAACGATACAATCAGGCAATTAAATCAGAGAATCATTGAGTTTTTGAGCAAATTAGACACTAATAATTTGAACGAATTAAAAACTTATAATTTGAGCGAATTAAACACTAATAATTTGAGCGAATTAGATACTAATAATTTGAGCGAATCAAACAATGATAATTCGAGTGAATCAAACAATGATAATTTGAGCGAATCAAACAATGATAATTTGAGCGAATCAAACAATGATAATTTGAGTGAATCAAACAATGATAGTTTGAGCGAATCAAACAATGATAATTTGAGCGAACCAGAAACGAAGATGAACGAAGATGAAGATAAGAAGGAGCTGCCGACGACATCCGGGCACAATGACATACGTTATCCTTCCTCAAATGAATCATCGACATCACGCCAAGGGTTGTCAACCGAGTATCAGCGAGTTAGACGGCATTCGATAAGTCAGCGGAGAAAAGCCGAGGAAAATCGACGGCAGGAGGATATCATGAGAAATCATCTCAGTGATCATTGCTACGCAGATATGACTGCACGCACAAGTATGGAACGATTAGGATTACATCCACTTACCGAGTCCGGTAAGTGCATGAAGTGCATGTTTTGGACTTTTCTCTTTGCGATTTAATGAAGAACGATTGTTGTCTCTTTTAACAAAACAGCC